TATTCTAAAAATCAAGGCATAAGATTATTTTGAAGCAATGTTTGTGATACATTTGGCTGATTGCTATGAATTTCAAAAACAGATTTTTAGTGGGACCTGTGCTCTTAAGTTGTTTTGAAAAGTCTTCCTAAATGTGTATTAAACATCAGATGTTGAGTTGGAATAATGTAACCAAGTAAAATGCCTTTATAGACTATAATTATTTTCCAGGAGGCTTTGAGTGACATTCAGGCAAACAAAAGTAAAAATCAAAAGTCTCATTGAATAGCTGAGGCCACAATTTGACCTCTGCAGTTAGGAAGCAGGAAGAAAAATGATTTAATGTTTTGTCTAAATTTTAAAAAAATAAGAAAATTTGGATATATTAGACAAATATCCATATCTGTTCCCTTATTATTTTCTAACAAAACAGTAATTTTTGACTTCAGGTGAATTTTGGAAGTTAGTGGATAGTCTGCTCTATGACTTCCATACTGATTTTCAAAACTGAATTTAAAGATTTTTACACTGAATCAGAAATCACATGTCTCTACTTCCAAAGCTATTTAATTTTAAAGGTTTTTTCTAAGGTCTTGCCTTGAAAGATGTCAGATTGTTTAAACAGTCTCTGAAATATGCAGAGACTTACTGAAGTCTGCAAGCTTGCATTCCCCTAGTGTGCAAGAGTGCTTTGGGCCAGTACCAGCCCTTATATGCCCAAGTAGTATGGACTAAATCCACTTAATTTAACATCCTGATCTTTTATCACTCTCTTAAATGCTGCGATAGACTTGTTCTGATAGGCTTGTCAATGCATATCTGCTAATTAGTCTTAAAAAGAGCTGGATGTTATGTATCTAATATTCTCGGCCATGTTTCTCTACAATGTGGCTGCACAGGTGCAAAACATCTGGCACAGTAATATGTACTGCAGATGTGGCAGTATCATACTCGGGATGAGGTGGACTCTTGTTTCTCCTGTAGTCTAACTTTTAACAGCAGGTGTGAACAAGAATCCATGTAAGATAGGCTATTTGATGGGCTGATCACCTAAGTGCTTTTCAAGCTCAAAAGGGAAGATGAGTTAGAAATATGTCCATAGACTATATATTTTTTTTTTTTATATTAGGATATAAATCTTGCTAATGCTATGATTTTTTGAAGTGTAATGCCATCTAATGAAGAATAATCTTATTTGCTCAGATTACAGTTACTAAATTAATGCCATCAAGCAGGCAGTTTCATCTTCTGTATCTTTGTGACAAAGTTTGGTTTGATTTGGATTTAAAGGACACAAGTGAATATATTGACCCATAACTTAGAACTGTTTCCAGAGATAAGTCAAAATGCCATGAACTGATAAACTTTATTAGTTTTATTTTAAACAGAAGTGACTCCAAACCTAATTATAGATTGCTATAAGCAAAGACTTCCATCCTACAAAAGACTTGCTGCATACCTAGATGTATGTAAAGAACAGCTGGTAAAGTAGTAGTATCATCTATCAAACCACCTTACACGTTTGTAAAAAAAGAGACACCATTTCCTTCTAAACCATTTTATTCAGTTATTTCGTTAAGTTTGTTTTCTATGACTGCTTATGTGTAAAATGCTGGATTTGTGAAGTTTTGTTTGGTTGGGTTTTTTTTGAGGACCAAATACTTAGCATATGGCAGGGGTATCGGCGTGATTCTGTGTGTAAATCTAGCTATCCTACTGTAAGCATGGTGAAAGTCGTAAAAGCATTAGCTTTATTGCATTTTGAATGTGAACTGTGATGCCGAAGTCAAGTGTTTGCCAAGCTCTTAGCAAGATGGAGACTCTTCTCTCTTGACAACAATTTTACATTGTAAAGTAAAAGTGCATTGTCTTGATTATGTTCAAATATCTTATTCTGATGATAACTTAATATTCCACCTTCTGGATTATGATTTTACTTCCACTCTATTAGAAAAGAATTCTTAAAAGCTTTTGTTGTTTGCAATTTTTTCTTACCAATATTCTTGCAAATATTGTCGGTAAATCTGTAAACTAAATAATGTGAACTGAATCACCCTCATTTTGCTAAGTCTGCAGCATTTCTGTTGTTACTTTGGTCATTGACATTGAGAGACTTATTCCAGTATGTTCCATAACCAACACAGCACCTGACCCAAACCTGCATCTGTAAAGTATATGTGTCAATTATCTAACAATCCTCTGCGTAATAACATATACATGTGTATAGGATTTATCTATGACTTCAAGTGTGTCTGATAAGGTAAAAAATACATTGCAAACTGATCTTACAGTGTGGGGTGAACTAGATGGGTTTTGGCAGTCACTTCTCACTCAAACCATTCTATAATTCTGTGACAGTACTCAGAAACTGTAAGCAGTTTATTCAGTGTATTGTTATACAAATTTCATCAGTTTGCTAGGAAAATAACTTTTTTGATGATAAACTATTACAGTGTAGAATTCTGTGTGTGACACTATTACAGTCAGAGTCATGGGTGTGCGTATTTGTGAAACTGTGTTGACTTCAGTCAGCTAATGTATAAGTAGAAGGTTTCCCTCATGGATTTGACTGGTGGCTTGGGTCTGTTTTTTCTGTCTCTGAAGTATTTTACTCATGCAGTGTGATAACTTATTTAAAAATCTACAAACACACCCCCTTACGTCCAGAAAAATAACAGTAAGAGAGTTACTTTTATATACATACATACAAAGAGTAGCTCACACTTCAGAGTTTTTCTACCTTTATTGAGTTGTTGGTTTTGGATGATATCTGACAATACAATACTGCTCATCCCAGCTTCACACTTTGAATTCTTTACTGAGGCAAGGGACTCTCTGGAAGCTGTACAAGTTTCAGAGCAATAGGGGTATGCTCAAACTGAAAGCAATTGCTGAGTCTTAAAACCACAGAAGGGGTGTTTGTAAAAGCTGTTTTGATTTCTCTCTGGGGGAAAAAAATTAAGTGAAGTTTTGCAAAGTCTTAGGACTTATTTTTTTTCTGAATTAAATATAATAGCAATAACATTAATGAATATACATGCTCTCAACTATTCTATATGGCTTGGGTTTGCCAGCTGAGGTTTATATTTACAGCCAAGCTGAGGGCTCATTCAGGCAGAGTATAGCACCCCCACCTGCCAGTCGCAGCTAACATTTCTCTGCTTCTTGGGCTGCTGAATGTGCACAATTACCCAATGTATGGGGAATATTGTTGTAAATATTTTCAGCGAAACTAATGAACTTTCTCTCCAAGCTTTGTTTGCGATAAGCTGTTATCACAAAGCTCGTTATGATGTAAATGAAAGGTCCTGTATTGTGTATTCTGAAAGAGCCGTGCAGGAAGGCTGTGGGTCTAGAATATACTTGTCTGTTTTGGTGTAATGCAATTTCACAGGTGGTCTGGACAGTCAATTTTGTGATGGTCCAAAAGCTATTGCTTTGTCTTTATTGGGCAGTCACAACATGGGAACAAAGTAATGGTTAGTATGAAAAATATCCTTGCCAGCAGGTTGGGGTAGGACATTATGATCTACCCCATGGACAGGTAAAAGATTTAATACACTCCCCAGAATTTTGAACTTATATGAATCTTTCACTTTAAAAAGAAAAGCAAAGGAGTGCCTGAAAATGGAGCTAAAAAAAATATCTCCATATTGTTTGCATATATTTTTACCTTAGACCTATTCATACTGAAGTTTTCAAGGTGAATTAGTTCACTATTAAATGTAATGACACTATGCAATTACACAAACTCTTGAACTTTTTGCTTCCATCTATCTTGCAGAAATATGCCACTTCACAGTGCACCAAAGTGGTAGCTGGAGCAAAAGTTTATAATCTTAGTGTGTTATGAGTACCCTCTGTGCTGCCAAATATCGTGATGTATAGAAAGCACAGTAAGAGTTAGGCTGCCACAGACTGCAAGGCAGTGTGCATTCAAAACAGTTCATCAGTCTGAGAAAATACTTAGCACTTCGGTGCAGAAAAGCATAGATCTTCATTTTCCTTGTGGGCCTGATGGAAAAGGACTGGTAGATGATCCTTCACCTTCCATTTTACTGAGCCAAGTACAGGGGGACTTGGCCAGGATGTCTCAGTTGCTCAGGCCATAAAGGAGAGGCCAGGAGGAGACACGTTTTGTCTCTTCATTTGTCTCTTCTGGAAAGCAAATGCATATGCTAAAGATACAGGGAGAAAGGGAGCTGATAACATCAATGTCAGTGTGATCCGGCAAATCTACTTGCAGATTTTCATGGTTCATACCATCACTCTGGTACTTGAGAGTAGGAAGATTGAAACCCCACTATTTTTATTTTTTTTTTGTTATTAACGATGGCATCATTGCACATATTTCCACAGGTTACTTTCAGATTAATATGTTGTATTTGTAATATCTTGTGCCCTACTAGATCAAGTAATGAAACTCTCATAGCCATGGCCAAATCTGATCTCCAAATAGAACACAAATTATGGGGTTTTATGTTGAGCATGGATTTGACTCAAGGGTTGGATGTATGCAAATCCACTTGAGCTCAAATACATAATTTCCATAACTGCTTTAATGCTTCTCAGACAGAGTCTTAATAATCTAAGGTTTCGGAGAAGTTTGACTATGATGTTCGTGTATCCAACAAATAATACACACTCAGATTATCTAATTTTTCTATATGTTTAAAAGTGTCACAGGAAAGAAACTCTCACTTCTTTGTTCCTAAAATATTTGTTTCTTGGCAGCACTTGTCTGGATGTATAGCAGATGTACTAAATATAACCTGCCTATGATTTAATGCAGCACACATGTAGAAAATTAAAATAACATTAATACGAGTTGTTATTTTAATATGGACCTTTGGGCAAAAGGAAGCACTGTTCTGGTCTGGACTACTTATGCTGTGATATAAATAGAAGGTTTGAGTTTCCAGGACTGTCAGTCTGGCAAAGTTCATTTGACCTCAATTTGTGATGCAAGACTCCTGAAAATAATGGCCTCACTAACATTTATTTTGTATCTCTGTTAATAGGAGGAATGCTTTTTGAATTTAGAAGCTCCAATTTCAAGAGTATGTGGCTATGACACTCCTTTCCCTCACATCTTTGAGCCTTTCTACATCCCAGATAAATGGAAATGCTATGATGCCCTTCGAAAAATGATTAACTACTAAGCAGTAGTACAGGTGAGAAACAATGTTTTAAACTGACAGCTTTCCTGTAAAGATTCTGATAAAGTAATTGCAAGGTTTAGGGTTTAAATACTACTCTTTTATTTAGTTATTTATTTATAACAAGAATTGTCTTTTATAGCTTTGGACCTTCAGTCTTAAAGGCATCTGAATATTTTTAAGTAGTGCCATTGGAGTCAGTGTGTAAAATTAAGGAGCTTGCTTTATCAATCTGAAAATTAAATGTCTTGTATCCTGAGAAAAGAATGTTAAAGTGAAAGGAGAAAGGAATACTAATGCATAGATTTTATTTTCACTTATATTAGAAGACTTACATTTATTTCATAGGCAAAACGTAGTGTTGAATTTTATAATTTTTCACTCTTTAGGGTGGCCTGTAATCCTGTGAGGTACTAATACGACCCAATTTGCACCGAATATAGGCACTGCACTGCAGATATAAACAGAGCATTGAAAATACGTGAAGTATCTGTAGTTTCTTACAGTTCTGCTCAAATCTGTAAGGCTTATATTTAATATTTATTTTAAAATTTTTTCTTTGTAATCTTGCATGTAATTCAGTCATGCTTGAACATTTCTCTTTGCAGAGTCTTTCAGGCACCAAATCTGTGAAGTAATATATATTTCTACTACATACCTATTAGTCACAGTCTGTAACATCTTCTGCTATGTTTCATTGTAATATCATACTAAGTGGCATTAGACTGTGCAGTGGCCAACCAGGACTTAGTATTATGCATTGTTGTGTGAGAACTTCTGGTGTTTAATGACCAAAGTTTAATAGTTAGGAAATGTGTCAGCGCATTGTATTCAGTATTTGCTTTAATTAGGTGGCTGAAGTAGCCTCGTTTTTGACATTAAGTCTTAATGGTCTTGTACATCTAACCTAAAAAAAAAAAAGAAGAAGAAAGCAACAGGCCTGTTTTCCTTCGGCATAAAGAGATCCGATAATAGGCAGTCGGGATTTTTAGCTGTTGACACAGAAGATGGGAGGGCCAAGGTGGGCCCTATATTAGGGGCGCCCTCTCGTGTCCATTTTACCTATACATTAAGCTGTGAATTAAATTTAGGGCCAGGGGTAGAAGATTGTCAATAGCTTAATGTTTACATGCATACTTACTTTCAGGACGACTTTTTACATTTCACTCTCTTGGTTTCCCTCGATAGCTGATGGTGGAGTGGCCTGTATGTGAAATGGGAATGCTACTGGTGAGGCAGTGTTTCTGAAAAGTTATATAGCTCCACTTACAATATTTCTCAAAAATCACCTGTTATTGACATACCAGAGCATTTCCTTTGGGTTAAAACTGAAGAATGTTGTGATCTTTTTTGTAGAGTATGTGGTAAACGCTCTCTTTTTCATGATAGTTGTCCTTGGCTTTTTTCTGAGTTGAAGTGAAATTATTAAAGACTTAATTTCTTTTCTGTTTGGCACCTCTGTAATAAAGTCAGTGAAGCTTTCCTAAAGAGAATGGGTAGTATCTGCTCTTTGAGGCAAGTTATGGAGGCCATGCTAGGTAGCCTCTAATCTGTTCCTTTCCAAAGAAAACCAAAGGACCAAATATTCTTAACCTCTGTGTAAGGAAAGGGAGACAAATGTATCTGGTGGTTCAGATACTTAGTTTAATGCCCATTTCTCCATAGGATGGTAAAGTGAGGGAGAGAGAGAAAAATGTGTGTTCTGAGATTGCATTGGATTTGCACACAAACCAATATCCACACTGGAAGTCATCTTTCTGTGAAGGTAATATGGACTAAAATGTGGAAAATCCATCTGCATTCATATTTACATTTCTCCTGTGGGCTGCACCACACACAAATATCAGAAGAGATTATTGGCCAGTTTAAAACATAGATTTAGCATATGAAAGAACAGGTTTATTAGAGGCTGTCTGGAAAACAATGTAAAGACACAGAAAACTCTCCTTTCTGGTTTGTCTAAGAAAACATCCGGATGCTGGGGCCCATCTTTTGGTTGGTGCGACTAGATATTAGTGTTACAGAATGAGCTGTTCAAAGGTTTTTTTTTCAAGAAAGAACCTTAATGTGCCTTGTTGTGAGGCACATTTCAGGGGAGTATTCCCTTACTTTTCTGTGTGCTATAGTAGGTAATTGGTCTTATGTGCTTCACACAGCAGTTGTAGTAGATCTCCATCCTGCCATCCGCTCCACAGAGTTTGCATATAAGGTAGTGTGTTTACGTTTCTGAGAAATGGAAGAATTGCTTCACATCTGGGTTTTTTTTGTACTCAGTGTAGCATTTATTAGTGATGATACTTGCCATCGATCTGGCCTCATGAGGTTAATGTGTTGCAAACCACATCACTTGTAGGGAGAGAGGGATATCTTTTCTAAGAAATGGTGTTACAGGTTGTGTGGTTTTGAGCATAGTCATAGTCTTCTGGATGTTAGAAGAGTTGAGCCCCCTACTTGTCCTGCTGCTGGAGAGACGGAGTAGCTAGCAGTTCCCTGTGGTGAGAGGGGTGTAGGGTTAGCTTTTGAGTTACAGAAATGGCCAAGCTGGCAAAGTTGTTGCTTGGCTTATGTTTCAATTACTTTCTGTTAGATACAAGTTGGTGGCATGGCTGGATACCTCCTTCTTTTCCTCTCTTAATCGACAGTTTACTAGAAGTTGCTTCATCTGTTGCTTCCATGGAAGCTGTGGGGAAGAAAGACAAGTGGTAATTGTCAAATATGTCAATGGTATATACCAGATTGTCCTTTCTATCATGGCCTGAAATCTCTGTAGTTTGACAGAGAAGCTACCTGCAAATTAGTTTCATGAAGTCTGCAGTGATATGGTTCGCTCCCCTTGTTACTGGATAACACCAAGTTGTATAATGTTTTGTGGTCTACCACTGTTTGAAAGTCCTCTTCAGACCTGGAAACGGGTTCTATAGTAAAGCATGAGGGTGCTAACTCCAACCTTATTTTTACTAGTTACAGTAGGTTTTCCATTAAGTTATTGGTGTGTTGAAATCTTTCTGACCTTATTCACACAAGTATTTCTCACTTAACAATAAATCTACATGTTTAAAAAACAAACAAAAGACCCCTCCCTGAAGTATGTTTTGCTGTGTGTACAAATGTACCTCATACCCAGAAAGGTTCTTCTCAGGCACCTGAATTAACTTGCTACTTTGTGTCTGAGGCTAATGCAGGGTCTCAAGCTGGATGCTACAGTCAATAATTTCTAAATATAGCCTTATTATCTTAATGTACATTTGGTTTTATTGAACCTGTGTTGACAGTGTCTCACACATGCATAATTGCTTATCTTGAGGTTGACAGTACAGATGGTTTTCCTGCTCAAAGACAGCATTTGACAATGCATGTATACCTCACCAATGAGACAGGCAAGAGCAAAATCTGTATCTTTCATCAGCTTCTTAGTTATTAAAATTTATAGCTATGTTAGGTACAAGAGAAATAGCTTCCAGGTAGGCAGTTGTGTTCCAGATAACTCTTTGTATTTGGAAAAAAGATAAAGAGAAAAGAGGCAGTGGGATTAGGATGGATATAGATTTCTTGGATAGATGGAATGATGCCTGGCTGTTCATCTGAGGAGGAAAAAACCCCAAAAATCAAAAAGATAAAAGAAGAAACAGAAGAAAACAGCCACAAATTTTATAAAATATATGCTCGTGATAGACAAATATAGTGAGAGATGGCTGTAATGTAGAAATGGCAAATAGCCAAGTGCTTTTCTGTTATCTTTTGCAGCTTTTTATACCACATTTGCATATTCTGTTTTCTTGTCAAATTCTGTATTTTAAAGTAGTCCCTGCCAAATGACAGTTTGCCTCTAAGAGAGTGTGTGTGTATGTAGAGACGCTATCACTACTACAAATTTAGTCTCTAAAAATACGAAGTTACCACACTGAACTTCACTATGGAACTACTTTATGGAAAGTTTAATCTTGGTGCTTAAAGGTTAGGAGATGATAGGAGGTTGATTTAAATTTCATTTTTGTTCCCAGCACATATTTGAAGTTGCATTTCAACATTCAATACAGTTTGTTTAGAACTAGTGCTCCAGTTGGGAGAGACTTGCACATGACAGTGATGCTTTCCCTTTCTCAACCAGGAAGTTCTCCTGGGAAATGGGAAGGGACCTGCTAGATACTTTGGTTAGTAATTGTCTGTTCTTTGCACTCATGGTTATTAGGCAGGGCTTCATAGAGGTTCACTTGGGACACAGGAAAAATGTAATTCCTCTCCCTGTTTGGTAAGTAAAATATGAGAGACTGTGGAAGATAATTTCTTTTTAACCTGAAATTAATAACCAGGTTTTTTTCAACACAGAATCCTAAATATGGCAGGCTAGACTGCCTGTCTTTTATAATGTGCTGTCTGTAACCCACTAGAACAACCAACCTCCAGAGGCTTGAGTAGCATGCAACATTCCTGGCTTATAATGTTTTCCTGCTGGATGGCAAAAATCATGAAAATGGCCAGTGAATCATGTCTTATTCGCAACCACTGAGTACTCCAAATAAAAGATTGCAGTCTACTAGTGCTATGAGTTAGTCTGTTAGTATGGCTGTTGCAAGTCTATACTTACATTCAAACCTTGCTGAGGATTCAGGCAAGATCATGAATATTGAAATTATCTTTAAAAAACGCCTATAAATAGGAAAGGTATAGACTATAGGTTTTTTTAAAAGACACCTCTTCACTGTAGTAGTAGATTGATAGTATATCTAGTAGAGCTTCAACAATTAGCTCGTAACACTTCCCTTAACATCCTAGAGTGGGATGGAAGGCACTTTATCATAAATTTTTTTGTGTAAATGGTGGTAATTAGTGTTGTCTTGACACTAGATATCAGTTACAGTATTTCTGACTCTGCGTGTCTACCTTGGCAGCTTAAAAAATTTAATATAGTTTTTAATGCACACAAGTAAGTATTTTGTTGTAGTTCACACACCTTGAGGTTAAGATGACGTTATAAATTTTTAAAGCAAGATTACCATGGAGGATGATCTGTGTTTAAATTGTGGATATTGCTTTCAGTCTTAAGATTTGTAATTTGTTTTGTCATCTTCTGCAGAGATGAGAAGAGCAACAGGGAAATACAGAAGCTGCCTTCAAAACTTTCGACACTTTACTCACATCTTTTGGGTTTGGAATTCATATAGCAGACTGTTTTCTCTGAACTCAACTATCCTTAATACTCATCTTGGCTATTCTTCAGGAAGTTCAACTCTACCTTAATTATGAAATCAGTGATGGTCAGGTGATTGCTATAATAAGTAGTTTCAGATGTATTTAAAAATATTCCAGATGTTGTATGAATATTACACATTGCCATGCTTCACTAGGTTACACCTCTAAACTTCACTGTGTAAATATTAGAAGCAGGATTTTATTCAATAAAACGTATTATGCATATGTTGTCTCTTGGTTTTGTTATTGTTTTAGGAAAACCCAAAGAAGGTGTTTGAATGTGACTATAATTTCAACAAAATAAACCTTAGACAGCCAGACCAGCTTGTGCGTCTGGTCTGATGGAGACTTCCTTTAACCAGTGTCCTTAGGTGTCTTTCAGCTGAGTGACTTCATGTAAAATAGTCCCAAATATGATTTTCCTTTCTGCAAGGGAAATGAAGGCTCCATTTTTCTTGAGAAAGGAGGAGATTTTTTTTTCTTTGTTGCTAGAGGTGAGAGGCTCCATTGGTACATCTTTGCTGCAATATCTTTGTTTAATTATTTTTCTTCTACATATGGAATGTGTCTGCTGCTAAGCAGTTGTGCAAAATGTGCCAGTTTGTGGAGAAAAGGTAACATTACCAACATATTCATGCCAGTGGTAGGAGAAGAGTCAGCTCACATACCTTTTTCTGTTGGTGAGCACACAGAAATACAAAATTACCAAAAAGACTCTGCTATAAAATTAAACCTGAATGTTTATTTTTCCTGTGCTAATATAAAGGGCACTGAACATCCCTAAATGCAAGAGGGAGTCCAGCCTTTCAGACAGAGAGCCTCTGAGCTCAGTGAAGGTTTGCTTAGTTTTTAATAATGCCCTTCTTTTCCATATGACAAGCCAAGGACACAGCAAAGATGTGAAAATTATCCTCTCTTGTCCTACATTCCAGGACTGCTCGAAGGGCAGCAGACCTTCTTCCAGCACAGTAGTTTCAAAGCTTATTACTGAATTCCTTTGGTACCAGCTCTGATCATTTTTCCACCTCCTAAATTAAGTGTGAATTCAGCAGTTCCTAGTCTGTTTGGTTGCTCTGCTCTCTGTACAAATCAATCTCACGCTGCATTGCTTCTTATTATATGGAAGAGGAAGGGAAAGGATTTGGAAGATGTATGCCAGTAGCCAGATAACCACATTTCCATTGTTATTCAGGGGGATCTTTCAGGGAGAAAGAATACCTTTGTAATACACAAATGTGCTCAGGGCAGTCCTCAACGTGACTGCTGAGACACACCAGGGAAGAAGCTCGGGCAGGTAGTTTTGTCAGTGGATATTCCCCACCATGCCCCTCCATCACCCATTCTGATGATCTGGGAGTTGCTTGTTAATCAAGCAAATCTGGCTTTTGGGACAACATCCTTGATTATGGGTGCCAAAGTGCACACACCCGCATCTCAAAGTGGTGTGCTTCTCAGGGCTCCTCGGCAATTCTCATCTCACTCTCCCAAACCTCAGGAGTGATCCTTGTAGGGTGGTTCATTGTTTGCAACATGGGGTGATGCTTGCCCTCCAGCAGAACTCAATTCAAAAAGCCGTGTTCAAATGACTTGTACAGATAGAAGGTGCTAAATGATAATCTTTTCAGGCCCTGCTACCATTTTGTGTAAGATTCATAGTTCATACATTTCCTACAGAATCCCAACGGATAATCAAGCTAGTTGTCAATGTTTCTAATCAAAATGACACTACTAGTCAAGTCTTCTGTCTGCAAGTCTCCTGTAAATACCATGTATAGAGTTTCTTTATTGTTTTAAATGATAGATGCATTATGTATTTTATATTTTTTTTGTGCTGGATAGAAACTATTGGGTTTATGAAAAAAAATGGTTTTAAAAATTATTTCTCTCTGTAGAAAATCAATAGATATTTGAGTTTCTTCTAAAAATATACTGTTAATGTACTTCAAAGAATATACAATAGATACAGTTACGGTACTGACATAGTAAAATGTGCTTTGGTAATTAATAATAGCCTTAATCCTAATACTTTGTATACGCTGTTTTCATAGAAAAAAAACAGTTTGTAATTTAATGCAGAGCTTAAGTTCAAGTTGCATGTATGGAAATACAGAATAATATGTTTCTTAATAAACGTGTAGAAAATATTTGCTGTTAATATGAACTACTGCAGTCTGGTTGAGGGACAGGTTTTATATTTTCAGTGAGTGGTGGTGTGTCATTTTTTTAATAGTATAAAAAATGTTCCTTTCTCCTCTGTTTTGGATAATAGAATATTTTTCTCTGGCAAAGGCAATTAATGTTCTTAAATAGGTGCTGCTCCCAAAACCCTGCCTAGATGGCAGTATCCACTCATGTAACCTGTACTCGAGGATGATGGCTGTTTAAAGTGCGTGTTATGGAAAAATGACATATAGTTATAAATTGGACAGGAAGGTCTATGCTGTTACATACAAATAACTGTTTCTCATTAAATCCCCTAATAATAAAATTCAAGGACAAGTCATATTTTCTGGTTTTTAACCAGTTTGGTCTCTTAATTAGATTATTTAGATTATGCAAAAAAATGTGTAGAGGAATATTCTGAGATTTAAACTGGGCAGTGATTGTTTCACTCTAACTCCTTCTAAAGCAAAAATCGTGTCATTACTCCTTGATGATAGTCCAGAAAATTAGTAATCTATCTAGTCATGCTCATTTAACACTAATTACTGGAAATAATTATGGTACATAGTTTAACACTGGATCCTAAGATTGGAATTCAAGAGACACATCACAGCATCCATGGGATCCTAGATTTATTAACTGCAGATGAAAGACTTGTATAGTCTTCTTCTGTCGTCTAGCTCACTTAAGGCCGTAGCGCCATAAGAACCTCATAGTAATAAGCAGTGCACCAATTAATAAAAACTGGGTTTAAATCATTAGAGGCATTCTCCCTCGTGGAAGTGCATGTGTTTCTGAGAGGATTAGCCAGTAGTACGTTCTTCATGCAGTAGCCAGGAGACTTGACACAATGACCTTCCGCTCCTATGGTCTGATAATCAGTTCTGAGCTCATGAATCTTTTCAGACAGCTCTCTTGCTCCTGTAGCTAAAAACCGGTGTTCCCGGTGCACTGGTATATTGCAGAAGCTCTGTTCTAGCCACATAACTTCAGAGGCAGCAACTGAAAGGAATCCATTCAGCAAGCTGGCAGAGATTGTTATCACAGCAGCTCATGGGGTTCAGTGAGCATTATATGTTCATAACAAAATAAGCTGACACAGTCTGTAAGCTCTGCCAGATTTCAGTAAACCCAAAATAAGGATGCAATTCTTTTGTAGCTCTTTAGCTGCTTAGCTGCTCTGCACGATACGTGTTTGTTAGATATAGGAGATGTACATCTGACTTCTTTAGAATTTAGTTCAGTTGCTTATGCTTTTACATTGAGTACCATGTGAGACACCCTGGGGTATCCTGCATGGTCTCTGCATCTCCAGCTGCTGCTTCCATAGGTCCTGTGTGATACCTGCCAACTCAGTGTGTATCTTGGGTGCCCTAGGGCATCTCAAATGGCACTAGATGCCTGCATTCAGGCATCTAAATGGAGCCCTTTGTTTTCTAGGGCTTGGATAGCTGATGTCTGACTATTTTTCTGTGAGCCTGCATAAAATGCTAGTACTGAGATTGGTGCATGTGTCAATTTTCAAAATAAATTGCTCAAATCCCTAGTAAGTACATAAGGTGGGATACATGACATGTTGTGCGTGTGAAGGAAAGGATTATCTCCTGGGTGACAGGCTAATGCTGAACTGGACAGTTAGTTCCTTGAGGCAAATAATTTAAAGCAAAACTGCAGCCTTATAAATGTTCCCCGGCTGGAGTTGGTTACCATAACTCATGAAGTTTCTGATGAATATCTGAAGATAACATGTGGGCAGGACCTGGTTCAAGTTCAGCAAAGCCATAAGCAACAGTGGTGAGTTAATGAGAGACGAGGGAGCTGCAGCTCCCTTGCTTCCTGCAGGAGCCGTGTGTGGGATTCAGCTCAGGATTAAGCTACCTAAATTTAAGTGTTGGATATAGGTATGTATGGCTGAGCAGAGCAGTTGAGCTAGCTAGTAAGTGCCTTTGGGGTAATCTGACTCATTCTGTAGGCTGAACTGACTCTACTGACTGCCTCCGTTAAGTTTTCTATGCATAGTGCCACATGAGATGCTGTAAGGTGTCCTGCCTTGCCTCTGGACACTAGTCTAGAAAGGTTCAGATCTCCCCCTGTTCCTCAATCATACCTGCCAGCTCAGGTATATCTTTCATGCCCTAAGTCATCTCAGGTATCATTGCTAGAAGCTTGTGTGGGAACAGGATCTAATTGTCCAGTGGCTGTGTCTGTCATGGGATCACAGCCCAAATGTGGACGTTGGATGCTTAACTTCAGATGAAATTGCCCGTTGGATGCTTTTGAGAGAAGGGAAAGAGCGGAGAAGCAGCATGCTCAGTGTTAGGTGGATGCTGGGACCACGCACTAACTGGTGCAAAACCTGGAAGATGGTCTGCCGCTTAGTCCAAGTGCTACTAGGAGCAATGGCCTAACCCGTACTTATCACGTTAGTCGTCCTCGGCCGTCTAACAGAAATAACTCAGCCTCCTGATTAATTTACTCAATTAGCCTATTTTATATTACAAGTGCAACACTGAATCAACCCCAGCTTTGGGTTTATGTCACTTGCTTTGAAATAGTTTTATGATTTTTCGTTATGTTTTTAAACCCTCTTTTTGTTTTTCTTGGAGGAAAAAAGGTAAGCCAAAATAATTGTTCTACATGAAGATTAGAAACTAGTGTCTGGTTTTGCTCATGTAGGTCTGTGGATAACTGTTCTACAACTGACAGTAATGTGCCACCAGTGTTTGAGGAGGACTCCCTGTTGATTCCCATGTCTAATTAATTACTTTTATATGATAATTAAATCATTCCTGGATAAATGCACTCTGTTTGCTTGGAGCTGAGTACTTGCTGAAAACAGAAATTGTCTGAATTTATGATGCCTCTGATTGCACTCTTCTTGCAGTGTTTGTGAGCTCTGCTGTGCCTGATCCACTGCTAGTTCCAGTTTCGTGTGGTCTCAGGCAGTTCTGAGATAAGCAACCCGGGCTGCAGGCAGATGCTTTCTTTCCAGTCTTTCCACCACAGCCCTTGCTGGCACGCCCCTTATCCTGGGTGATGAAGCAGTGCAGGGGAGCACAGTTGTTCCCCCTCCAGGCAAAGCCTCTTCTTAGCTCCTGCTATGAATGTGGGCTGCTCACACCTGACTTGGACTTGTCCCACCTTTCCCAGGGGGAAACCTGGAGGACAAGGGAGATGGTGGAGGTGCAGTGCTGCTCGGGTGGCTGGCGAGGGGCTGGCAGGGAGAGCAGCCCCTCACTGCCGCCTCCACCTGCGCACCTGTGCGTCAGTGAGAGCCCCCCACTTACAAACACGGTTTGCTCAGCTTCCCAGGGTTCTGGCATAAGCTGCGCGGGTAGTAAAGCTGATGCACCCCTTTCCCCTCTGCTTCCCTGCCAGTTTAGGCTGTGCCAAGGACCTCGAGGCAGCCCTTGCCAAGGGTCCAACTGGTGGAGGACACCATGGGCATATGGAGCAACACCAGGATCCCGAGTACCTTTGGTTTGGCAGGAGGGCTCGCATGAATCCTGCCTCTGCCTGAGCTGCCGCAGCGGGATGGCGTGGGTGATGCAGGGACCATGACCTTCAAGAGGTTGCAGAAGCAACCTATGGGAGGGCAGGCGATGGCAGCGCAGGCAGCAGCTGGTGCGCAGACCCAGCGATGCCTCCCTCCATCAGCTGAGTCAGAGCAGTTTGGTACCTGACAGGCAGTAAATAAGCCATGACGAGTGACAAATGGAGGAGCCAGCTCACTCCTGCGAGCTGGGGGATGGGGTCTGGCCAGCCTGGAGAAGCACTTCCAGGTGGTAGGTCTCAGTGGCGGTTGCACAGAGACAACATTAGAGAGGGATTGCTGTTCAGTGACAACCTGGGACCTGACAGGCACTGTGTGACTCCAAGCCTGCATACATTTGCAGCACAGAACCTTGGCTTTCCATGTGCTGAGGTAGCTCAGCTATCTCACACTCTATTTGCTAATCCAGGGTTTTTCAGGAAGGGGCCAACCTAGACGTGTTTAAAATTTTGGGCTGGTTTGTGCAGAAGACAGTGGGAAGGTGCCTCCAGCAGGACCTATGGCTGCAGCATAGTGTTGTAGGCTTTCCTCTGCTGCCCAGCCTGGTGCAGGTCACTGTCTCAAGTCAAAGCAGAAGATGCTTGAGAGGTATATGTCACATATAAAAGTATCTCTGCCCCAGGAAGATTGTGTCTGCTGTGATGATAAATCTCTAATGCCTACTGGCTTGACCTCAGGGATTTTCAGAGATGTCTCTTGAGAGAGCAGTGAGGTGGTGGAGGAACAAAGTGCAGCCTTGTCCAAGTGCAGCTCCACTGGCTTCATGGCATCTCATGTTGTAATCCACTAGTCCTGTGTTTTATTAACAAAACAGAATTTAACTTGGGAAGGAAACTGCGAGCAGGTTGCCATTCAAATGTTAATACATGGCGAACAAAAGACTAAGAACAAGGTTAGAGTAACCATAACTACTGTACCTTTCCAATGACTTTTTTTCTTGTCATCACCCCCAAAACTCTTCAGTAAAGTTTGCCCCCTCCCTTTTTGTCAACAACCTAGCTACTTTTTCAACTACAACACTTTTAAAGTGTCTTTTGTCTCACTTGTTTGTAATAAAACCAAAGTATAGGTTATTGAGCTCTTCCTCATTTGGTGTTTGTTACACTTGAGTTAGAGGTGACTGAAGCAAAGACAAGTGGGTGTTGAACTGCCTTGCAGAGCAGAGACAGTTGGAAGCCCTTGCCTTCTCTCTCGGTTCTTTTTCCTTCCTGGCTTTGCCCCACATCTTCCCTGGATGTGGGGAGGCTTCGCTGCCCCCAGGCCGGGGCTGGGGCTGAGTCAGGGGAGGCAGTGGAGTGGGTAACACAGCAGTGACTGCTGCTGCTGCCAGGCAATGAAAGTGAGAGGGCAAAGAGGTGCGAGGTGGGCACTAACATTTCATAACAAGGTCTGCCCGCTCTCAACCAGTGATCCCAGCTCCCCCAGACTTCCCCTCCTGGTGCCAGCCCCTTAGGAGAGGGATCCAGCCTGGCTATAATGGACTGTGCATCTGTTACCTACCTGCAGTGCCCTGCCTGCTGACACCCTGTCCCACCCCTCATTTTTTGGTCTTGTTCCTCCTCCCGCAGATAGAGCCAGTTTTGGTGACTTACAGCTATTCACTGCTCAGGACCATCAAGAGGCTGAAACACCCACTCAGGCTGTGATAGGGGTGTTGTGATAGGCACAGCATGAGCCTTTGGGAGATGGCGCTTTATCTAATTAGTTTTCAGCAGAAAACTGTGATTCATCTTGTGTTATGTGCAGTGAAATTGCTGAGAGTTTTGCTGTCG